CACTGCCCAAGCCAACTGGAAGAATACCACAAGCAGAGCTGATATAAGAGCTCCATACACAATCCCTTCAGCTCAGCCAAGGGGGAGAATTTAACTTCTGAAGCCAGAAGACACCAGTCTCACCCTGCTGTTACTAGTGCACCATGAAGAAAAGAGCTCCAGCTGGCATTGGTAACTCTGGAAATAGCAGCTAACGCATACTACAGTCAGTCAACCTTTACAGAGGCCCTTTGAAGAGGGAATAGATCCATTTCAGCTATTCAAAGCAACATTCCCAGAAAGCACTGAAGTCTGGTGTGGGTCTGGCATTTGTTTCTGAGGTCTGTGCAAAGCCCAGACTCTGTATGAAATCAAAACACCAGGAAATGGCCAAGTCATTGCAGAGCAAGTCTTTACTTGACAGCCGTTATCCAAAAACCACCTTCCTGCATAACTGCTCAAATTACAGTCAAATGCAGCTCACTGCTGACAGAGGTTTGGAGCAGCCACTCCTACTCTGACTGCAGCTGCTGGGTAACACAGCAGCTCGGGAACAGCTGTGCCACCAAGAAAACACGATGAGTGTTACCACAGGGTGACTGCATCAGCAGGCAAGGCTCTAGAAAACATCCCTGCTGCTGCCAAGGTGATCCTGACACTGTCACCTATCCACCTCTCCCTGGGTATGCATCTGCTGCACCAGAGGATACATTTTGGATATACTCCACAGTTTCTCTTTTTCTGACACGTTCTCCATTTGGCTTAGCCTAACTTCTGTGTTATTAAAGTTTTCACCACCACCATTCCCATCTTCCCCGTAACCACTGCAGACACCCTTTACATCAGATGTCTTCCTCACCTGAGGTTCAAATCTGTGTCCCATGTCTCAGTATCCCAGCCACCATGTTATTTCTCATTTAAACCCTTTCCCAGATGCAGCTATGTATCTTGACACTACTCTTTTTTTTAGTTGAGCATATTTTAATGTGTATTTCGTACCATTCAATCCTAAGGATCCCCTCCATGTTAAAACACAGCCTGCACAGACCTGCTCCTCCTCTCACTCAAGAGTTCATCTGATACCCATAATCTCCATCCACAGATGTTCTTCAAAGAAAAGATCTCAGTACCAGGTAGCTCAAGCTTCCGAATTAGGAAGTTCTGGTTGAGCCCCCAGCTGTGCCTTCTGCCCAACTATTCCCCTTCATAGTACAGTGTCGAGGGAACAGACTCAGGGGACTAATTGTATCAAGCACGCCAATAAGTCAACTAAAATATCAATAACCTCATTAATGCACCAGAAGCATCTCATGGCTATTTATATCACTTTGCACACAGCTATGAAGCTACTAATCAAGTCTTACGAACCACACATGATGCTACTGAGTCACCCTTCCCTCCCACACCATTTAGCACTACGATGCACATCTACCCCACTTTGCTCTGCCCTCCCACAACAATTCTTTCCAGCATAGACCCGATGTAGAGTCCAGCAGGTTGTTCAAGGAGCATCATTTCATCATTCCTGTGAGCTTGGGTCCTCAGGCTTTGCTATCATCCAGACACCTGCAATCCTTCAGTCAGCTGATCTCACCTTTGTCTCATTTTATACATTATTCTCTAATTTCAAAATCTACTTTTTATGCTGCATTCACACTTCCTTTACCTCAGTCTCCTCCCAAACAGCCAATCCACCCAGATTGTTTCTTCCTCAGTTTTGCCACATCCATAATTAAGCCTGACAATTCTGATATGGTTACCTTGGTAATCTCAGCCTTACGTGGTATTACTGACATGGTGCAGGTGGCCTTGAAAGGTTTTACCCTGCAAGAGCTGCTTCACACACTCCATAATTATTTGGTTCCTCCTGGATATATATTGTTTACTTTACACACTCCAAGACAAATCATTCAATTCCAGCCTTAATTCCCATGCCCAGCTCCAGTTACCTACCAGCACTTTCTTATCTTACACAAAGACAGTTTGCATAACAGAGCAACATGTTTTGTACTTCCACAGCATCCTACTCTCACAGCTGCTCAATTACAAGTCTTTGTCCTTGAAGTGCTCTTGGGAGAGTCTCCTGTTAGCCTGCAAAGGAGTTAATGGATGACACAGCCTGGTTGTGCCCACAGTGGGCTTCCTCTGTTGAGAAATACCAGTGTCACAGAAAACTATTTGCATTTTAACTCTTTCTTCTCTAAATAAATCCTATTCCCACGTATCCTGCACTGAGGATGGATATGCAGAAGTACAGAAGGCACATAGTCTTATGGACTGACACCATGTATTTCCAGAATGTCAACACCCTAAACAGTAGGACAGGGAAGCTTATTCATTCTTTGGGGTTGTATTACATACAACATACCCCTCTGGCATATAAGGGAGTTTTCTGTTACAACAGCAACACACACTGCATTTCTAGTGTAAGTCCAAACATCTGAGCCAGAACTACCCATGGGAATACTCCTCTTATTGCATCCCCAAGGCAGACAGCTGCAGCATCTGCTGATTTACAACTTTGTTATAACTTTGAAAAAAACCAACCAACTACCTTCTGTTATAGTCTTTAGACAACACAGAACATAGCTCACAAATAACATTATTGATTTTTTAAAATAGGAAACAAAATAAAATCCCATGTTTCCAGGAATACAATCACTCAAAGGCTTTTCTGTGTAATTTTTTTCAAATTAAAGTGTTTAAAGCCTCTAATCACACAACAACAATGATTTATATTAGTATCTTTCACAAGCAGGTGGTGTTAAGAATATTACAGAGTAGAGCACTGGCAGGAGTCAATACTACAACCAAGTTATGCTACTGTGCATGGATTAGCACCCACATGATCAAACAGCAAATGTGAAAAGGACACCACCTGCAAAGGGATTTGTGTTTTTAAGAAGCCAGGCAAAATACAAAACACCTCAGTCACCTACTGCTCTGCTACCACAAACATTAAAGGTAGCATAGAAGTGCAGAAATATTGCAAAACAGCCCAGTCTAAGTGCAGAACACAGAGAGAAATTTGCTGAGCATATGTGTACTCACATGTGGAGAAAAGACAACCAGGAGAATGCCTTCACTTAACCAAGGAACAGTAGAATACACAACCTGATCCTAAGAAGGCAGGTTACTTCCCACAAGCTCTTTTTCACTCAAGTACCCTAGGGACACACAGAGAGTAAAGAGATGCCCTGAGATACTGCATTAGACCTAACGGAAGCTTTTCCTGTGGTAACCAAGGCAGCAAAACCTGCCTGAACATGCCCTTATACCTTAAGATGGTAACAGGAGGCTCATTCCTTCAGCAATTACATTACATGCTCAGACAGGGAACAAGGATACAGGACACAGGTAAAGAAGCAGCTAAAATCAGCACATAAAGCCAGCATAGAAAAACTTCAAAAGCACTCACCAAAACTTCAGGTTCTTTCTCAAGTCAGCAAAACTTAAAGAACTGTAACCTTTAAAGCAACAGACTAACTAACACAGAAAAGAAGCCCCCATTAAACACTACAAAAATAAACCTTCCACTTTTCTCCTAGTGTAACTCTCCCCCAAGCTTTTTACTCACACTCAGCTACGGCTAAGCTAGTATTTTTACTCACAGCTCATCCAGGTTTTAATTAAGTAAGAAGGCATATCAGTGGCTCCCATCAGCACTATGTTATTGTAAGCACCTGCACTGTGATGGACCTTCACAGAGAGAAATCTCCACAGGAGTTTTAAATGGGTGACTCCTTCTGCAAGGTCAGCTCATCACCCAGCACAACAGCAGCAGTAGTGCAGCTACTTTGGGATGCTTACTGATTCTGTGATCTTAAAGGTCTTTTCCAAACTAAATGATTATTTGATTAGTGCCTTATGCCTTGTTCTGCTGCAGGTGATCTCAATAGCTGAAGCTAAATACCTACAAATCACTCTTTAATTACAAACCATGTTGATTACAATTAGTTGTCTGGCTTCTAGGAATTTATAAAAATGACCTGCTTAAGAAGTTACTAGTAAGTCTAATGTGCAAAACCATTGGCAAGTAATAGGGTGCAATAATATCTTTCTGTGCACAACAATTGGCTTTTGCCTCAATTTCTGGTGGTGAAATTTCCCCTGGTGAAATTTGAGAACAGCTTAATGGAAGCAACTGTTGCAGTGAGAGACCATAGGTGATACATATGCTGAACATAGGAGTTGCTTCTTGGAGAGAAAGGGCCACAGGGAGATCTTAAATGATAATGGACAATAATAGTCCCTATTTTCTGAAATACACAGGATGAATGGAAATTAATTGTGGGAGAGAAATGCAAGTCTCTGATTATGAAGACCAGAGACAGGATATTTGCTGGATTACTGCCCCACCTTCCGAAGCAGCCATGTATATAGCTTTGTTCCCATTAATCGTTCTGCAGCTTGGCACATGTTCTTTGGAGAAGAGGAGGCTCGGGGCGGGGGACCTCACTGCTCTTTTCAAACCTTGACAGGAGGTTGTGATGGGGCAGAGGCTGGTCCCTTTTACTGTGTCTACAGTGAGAGGGACAGAGGAAACTACCTCACGGTGAGACAGTGGAGATTCAGATTCAATATTAGATATTTTTCGTTTGAGTGATCAGGCATTGGAATTGATTGCACAGGTGGTGGAGTTGCCATCCCTGGAGGTTTTCAAGTGGCCTCTGGAAATGGCATTGGGTGATACGGTTTAGTGGCTTACAGGTAATAGTGGTGGCGCTGGGCTGGCGAGTGGACTGGGTAAACTTGAAGATTTCATACAATATCGACGATTCCACCATGATTCGACGATTCCACGATGATTCTACGATTCCCTGACCCCAAGCGCTGGCGCCCCGGCCAGGCCGCGTTTCCATGGCGACGGGCGGACTGACCATAGAGGTGACGCCACACCAGAGAGGCTCGTGCGGCTGGGGGCGGGGATATGCAAATAAGGGAGCAGGGTGCCCTCACACGCGATGGCTGCCGGGAGGTGCCGGCGGCTTCACTTGCCAGGACGCAAAATGGCCGCGGGGCGGGGTTGGGGGCGCGCATGCGCGGCCGTGCCGCGCGACGGCAGAGCGGCGGGGGAGCGCCGGTACCGGACGCAGGTAGGAGGCGCCGAGGCGGTGCGCGGGCGTCTCTCCCGCCTCATCGCTTGTCCCGGTTTGTCTCTCTACCCGTAGTGTGGTAGGGTGGCGGAGCCCTCGTCCGCTCAGTAAGGTGCTTCGGGTAGGGTGGCAGAGACACTACCCCCCGGGGGCCGCCTCTGCAGGGGTAGGGGGCATCCCCTTTCCTTGCAGTGGTAGAGCCCTGGAGGATACTTCCCTCTGTTATCGTGGATGATCCCACTTCGGGCCGGGGGGTGCCATCGCTCCCTGGTCTCAGTGCCCGTGGGCAGAGGGCTCAGTGCTGGAGCCGGCTCTGCCTCCCGGCAAGGAGAGGCGGCTCTGACATCGCCCTCTTCTCCTGGAGTGTTCCGCGGGTCTCTGGTGTCCCTGCTGCGCCTTCCCTTCACCTGGCAGGCTTCAACCCCCTGCCGTGGAGCCTGCGGGAGCGCCCACCAGGGAAGGATGGCAGCGCCTCTGTCTGGCCACCCAAGGTTGCCAGGCCTCCCCTCAGCTTGGAGGGTCCTGCGGATGGGGCACAGGGATGGCAGCGCTGCTTGGGCATGTCCAGAGTCACGGCGTCCCCGTGTCCAGCCTGGCTCCCTGTGCTCCTGTCCTGCCCAGGAGGCCAGCGGCTGCAGTTGGGGACCCACTCAGTGGCGTGTGCCTTGTGGCTGCCGCTGGGGCCCTGCGGAGGGACAGTGGCCTTGGGAAGCTGCACAGGTGAAGGCAGTCCCTCCTCCCGGGAAGATGTGTAGCCGAAACTACTGGTGGCTGCACTTGGGGGAGTGGTAAAAGTTGGAAATTCGCCTGGAGTTTCCTCTTAAGTCTTAACAAAGAACAGGCAGAATGTCTGCAGTAATCCCCTCTTATAGCTCATTTGAAGCAAATCTTGGGTTTTGTTTTCAATGATGATTTCAAATTTATTTCTAGTTTTGTAATTTGAGGCCAGAGTTACTGGGCATTGGTTCCCATCTTTGTGCTATGAGGTCTGTTACAGGATTGGAGCTTATATTGGCAGCAAATGATCAGGAACAAGTTTTTTTAATACATCTAACACACTTCCTTTACACTGTAAGACAATGAATTCTTTAGATATGGGATGTTGCATGTTGTTAAGGTAAAAGCCTTGCCAAGTTCCAAGGCTATGCGATCTGCCCAGTTATCTCTATATTGACAAACCTTGTGTTCTTATTAGGTAATGAGATCTGATTGAACAAGATTGCTCAGCTGGAGCACAGCTCCATGGAAGCTACCAGCTGGTTCAAGGTATTAATTGTGTGTGGCAGTTGTGTTTGCGTGTATGAACTCAGCAGGGGTGATGGAAGCACGTGATTGCTTGTAATAAGGAGGGTATGACTTAACCTCATGATGCACAGTCATCAATTGTTGAATTGGTAAACAGTACTGGGAAGCACCCTCATAACCTGTTTCAGTCATGTTTCCATGCCTGATCCAGGGGGTTTCAAAGTTTTCATTTCTTCACACGTCAGATACGTGGGAGCCTGCTTTGGGATGTTTGTTCACGTTTCACACAGGACTGTGCTTAATGTTCCCTCAAGAGTCCTTGTTACTAAGGGATTATCTGAGGGTGTTCAGGAGAAGTATGGAGTGGAGAAACTGAGAGTCTTGAAGTTACATTCATCTCTAAGGGTGCATCAAAAGGGTGCACAATATCAACGTTTTGTCAGAGGAGCCTAAATTTTGTGAATTGTATCTAGGAAGGAGCTTTCCTGGGACAGAAGTAGGATTTTGAGAGGTATTTTTTTGTTTAAGTGGAGGCTCTTTTGGTTGTATTCATTCACATAGCTCTGTGGGGGGATTTCTTGTTTTACTGACAGAGTTCTGCCAGAATCCAGGTAGCTTTGTGGGATGAGGACCCTCTGAGATGTATTGTGGAGGTGTCCTGGAGTACCATATGTGTGAGGGAAGGAGTGTGCAGAACCTGGTCTGTGCTCCCAAAATGGGCTCATCACTGACAGATAACCCTGACCAGACAGAGACATCTGTGACTGTCACTTGCAGGCTCTGGGAGGAGTTGATGTGCCCAGCACCAGTCACAGGGCATCAGCTCTTCCATGGGTGCAGCTCCAGCCCAGCTTTCCTGTGAGTGGGGCCGGACCCCCAGCACCCCAGTCCTGTCTGGCTGTGACAAATGTCTAGAAATAGGGTTTTCTCTCAGGTGGTTTTTCCAGCTTCTGGGTGGATTTATTGTGTGGAAGCTGCAGACATACAGAGCTGGCTTAGTAAGCCCTCAAAACCCAGAATATGCAGCAGAGGCAGTGTAGTGGCAGCTCGAGCAAGCACAGACATATCTTGAAGTATTATTTGGGATTCCAGCCTGCATTACACAGGGGAGAATGAACACAAGAGCCATCCTGATACTGCAGGCAGGTCTGCAGATGGCTGTTTCAAGTTGCTGAGTGGCAACTTGAGCCCATAAAAATCATCTGGCCCTGCTTAAAAGGCTGGCTTGAGCCAAGATTCACATGTATGGCTCTGCTGCTGGCTCAGTACAAGTGGCTTCAGCTGTGGAAGGCTGGAGCTCAGCCTTGTAGTAAGGCCAAGGCATTGCCGAATCACCACGGGACACAGGGACTCGTGCATCCAGCTGTGAGCTGGCTGGGAACTTAGAGCACATGTGTGAGCCCCAAGCTGTGGTGTGTTCCAGACACAGCTGTGTGCCAGCACTCTCAAACAAAAGCTGTGCTTTCCTGGTAGCCAGTATTCCAACATCCTCCTCAGGAAGATAAGATCTGTGGACGTCACTGGCAGGAGCCAGATGTCAAATGTGGAGGAGGAAGTTTCTCAAATAAAGACTCATTGCTTTTTAATTTATGAGCTTGTTCCTTTATGACTGTGTTAGAGGTTCAGTGTGAATGAATGATGGCTATTCCCTCCTGCAGCTCCCTTTGCCATTCCTTCTTAAAGCCTCCTGTTGAAAAGTTCTGACATACTCCATGAATAATTCTCCATCCCAAGGAAAAGGTTATGAAAATACCAGTGTGGCAGTAACACAGTGCTTTGGGTGTAGAAGTGAAATCTGCTTTTTACAGACAACTGTGATTTGTTTCCTTTTAACTGCACATTTGCAGATGAGGAGGGAAAAATATCTATCAAATGACCTAATGACTATCCTAGCAAAAGTGACATCACTGGCAAATATCAGCTGGCTGGAGGGGTTGCACATCTGTGAGGGAGTGATGAGGGAGCAGAAAGGAAGTGGAACTTCACCCTCTTTGAACAGTGCTGTAGCATTTATATGACAAAATGAGGTGTCTCTGGAAATTTCAACAGCTGTGGTTTGTGCAGCATGTGCTCAGTGAAGCACTTTTTGGATGGGGACAGCATGAAGTGCAGCACTGAGACCAAGTCTTGAGCAGGCTCTGCTTTCACTCAGCTGTTGGATAGCAAAGGCAAGGCCAGGATAAGAATCCCCCTAGTAGGTCACACTGTTAGTCTGTCTGTCCCCATATCCTGCCCCATGGTGGCAGAGCACATGTGTGTGGGCACCATTTATGGCCTTTCCACTTGTCCACCCCCAGCCTGAACAGCTGGCTTGGGGCGGTTAGAGGAGATTCCCTGCCTTGTTCCCTTTAGTAGCTGTTTGTGTACAGCTGTTTTCTGTGAATTTGTCTAACCCTTTGAAGCTGCTGCCCAGCTCTCTAATATCCGTTGGTAGTGAATGTCAGGTGTTTACTACCTGCCAGGTAAAGAAATATTTTAAGCTGACTTCCTGTTAGTTACAGTGAGTGTTCCCAGTTTTTGTGTCCTGACAATTCCATGAAGGGGCCCAGCACTCTGATGTCTTCTGCTCTTCTGTCAGTCCTCCACAGAAGACTTTTGGTTAGAGACAGAGGACTTGCCTCTTGCCTGAACTCTCCCTTCTTCTTCACCTTTGTCTTTTCGCATTGTGACTCCTTTCCAATTCTTGACCATACAAAATGAAATTTCCCCTTGAGGCTTGTCTGTCTTTAATTACGTCTATAAAGGTTCATTGTCTGGCTGAATTCTCTTCCAAGCAGTGTCTTCCTTTTTTTCTGGCCATGGGTTTTGGCAGAATGGTGTCTGAGCTCCACAAGGGCTTTGCAGTTGGATCCAGTTGAGGTCTAGTGCTTTGGCTGGGAGTGGAACCGAGGTGCAGTTTCAATCTAGTGATGTAATTGATTGGAACAAGTGCTGTTCCTGCTTCTTCTGAACTAGTTATGAGGAATTCCTTGGCCTAGGAGGAGCAGATGGTTATTTTTGCCTTTCTAATCTTGCCTAGAAGTGGTCAGGCTCGTGGCTTCAGGGAAATGCTGAATGGGACTGGCCTTTCATCAGGTTTCATACCCAGACGTTTATTCTTCTGCTTGATTTCCTGCTGGGACTTGCTGCAGCTGGTGTTGCAAGCCCAAGAGGATGGTGTGGTGCGTAGGTTCCTATTTCTTATGTGTTCAGTCTTATCCCACATTGCAAAGCCCCCATGATGTATCTGAGGTGGGTGGACCCTGGAGGGCTGAAACAGGAATGGCACACAGCCCTTTATTTTGCTTTTGACCGTGCCAAGATAACAACCTTTTTGTCACCCTTCATGTGTGTGCTGTGAACAGGGCATGATGGCATGGGCTGGAGAAGCTGATTGTACTGATTCAAGAAACCCTTATGTCTCACATAAGTGCCTTGTGTTTTGCCTTGGGTCTGTAGCAACTGGCATGTGAGAGAGGGCTCAGCCTGAAAAGCACAAGAGAACATTTCTGGCCACAAGCTCCAGTCAGTGCAGGTGTGAGGAGTCCTCCTCTCACACTCAGCCCCTTGTGAACATACAGCGACTTGTTCTGGCCTAAGGCTGCTGTGTCCACGTGTTTTATTTCTGTGTATATTGCTGTCCAGCCAAAGCATCTTTACTTCAGACTATGGTCCTAAGACTTAGGTCACTCCAAGACAAGCTGGAAACCTGCTAAGGCACTTCTGGTTACTTTTATTGCATGATGGCAGCATGCCTGCTGCAGTTGTGTTTTGGTTGTGTCTCTTCATGCCACGAAGCAGCAGCACTGCTCACCATAAATAACTCCTGTCTGAGCCAGCCCAGGTGCAATAAGCTGTGACTGCCTGGGGAAAGCATTGTGCACATGTGAGGTTACATCACAGCTCCTGTCATTTTTATTTGGATAAAAATTTACGTGAGTACCTAAAAATACCAGTGACTAGGTGTGTTTTCTGAAGGCTGCTTTGTTGTTTGCAGCTATCTGGCTTGATTCTTCCTCTGACCTTGCCTTTAAAGAGCTGGATTAATTGTCTGCTTGCTGGATAACAAAGAACATTACAGGGTAAAGGACAGGGCAGGCTGCTCAGGAGGAGGAAGCCATGCCCCCAGGAGCCCACAGCCTGGCTTCAGCTTAATGAAACAGCTTTAGTGCAGCAGACAGCTTCTAGTCTCTTAAATCCCCTCCAATCCACTTTGTAGCAGCTTCTCAAAACAATACAAATTCTGATTGCTGCATACAAAGATTTACCAATTAACTTGATTCACCTTTATTTAAGAAAATGAATCTGTTTTCATTTCATTTTATTTATTTTTTTCTCTCCTGCAGGAGCAACAATGGATTGGCCCCATCAAAGATGTAGTAGGGGTTGGGAGAAGACATCTCACCTGAAATGGAGGTGATCGAAGGAGCTGAACACTGACTGCACCAACATGGGGCTGCGACTGCTGGCTTGTCTTTTCCATTTGCCCACTGCAGTGATCTATGGCTCCCTGTCGCTCTTTGTTTCCATTTTGCACAACGTGTTCCTCCTGTACTACGTGGACACCTTCGTCTCTGTTTACAAGATTGATAAACTGTCCTTTTGGATAGGAGAGGTTAGTTTTTTTTCATTGGCTTCTGCACTCTTTTAGTAGGAAACTCTGAAACCAAGACTGCTCCTTGCTAGAAATGTGAAAACTGTTAGTTGTAACAGCAGTGTTCCCTTTTGGAGAGGGAGCAAGGGAGCCTTCCAAGTACTAACTTGGGCTTTTCAGTTTTTCCCACTTACGTAAAAATAGAACAAGCTGGGACAGAAAATGCAGAAACTTTGTTCTTAAGAGTGCCTTTCCTCTGGGGATGTTGGGGTGTTTCACAGGCAGTGAAAACCACTGGCCTTACTGCCAGTTGCCCCAGACAGGGGCATCATACAGTGGTGATGGGACAGGGAAGGTGTGCTGGGACAGTTCCTGCTGGTAGCTCACCATGCCAGCTCAGTACTGCATGCTTCGGTGACAGAACAGAAACAAACCTGTGGTTTGCTTCACTGTCCTGTGGGTTGTTTCACTGTCCTGTTTTCTTTCCTAGACAGTGTTTCTGATCTGGAACAGCCTCAATGACCCTCTGTTTGGCTGGCTGAGTGACCGAGTATTCCTTAGCACACAGCAGTAAGTGAAGTTCTGCTTTCAGAAGAGTCTGGGAAGTTGTTTAGTCTCTGGGGAAGAGGATGTCAAATTAGCAGCTTTAAAATGATGGCATGGGAACGGCTTACTGGGCATGGAACTCTTAAATAGCTCCTTTTCATGGCATCTTTGAAGTTCAGTGCTCATAAATGTTGTTTCAGTACTTGCCTTTTTAGAGAAAGTCACACACACTTATTGGGTGGATGTGGCCCTAACCCTTAACAGTCGTGAGCAGTACAGAACCTAAAATATGGGCATCTAAAATCTCAAGCCCCTGCTATATGAGCAGGCCTGTTAATGGGGTGTTAGAGAGTGTCTGTACATGGTTTGGGAGGCGCAAGGGGGAAAAGTACAGTTATTTCCACATGGAATGCCTTAGACCAGTTGTTCCCAAACTCTATAGGATAGAAGGCAAGACAGCTCTGTATTGTTGGCCATTAGCATTTCTCATGTATTTATGTCAACATTGTAATGAAAATAGTGGTGTGACTTCCTGCAACTAGTAAAAAGTCATGAAAATCATTTACATTGCACAAAGTGCAGACAGGGAGACAAATGCTCTGGAAAAAAAAATCCCTTTTTGGCCTTCTTAAACCCATATTTTCAGTGTCTTCACTATTAGCTGAAAGGTATCTGATGTAGGTGGTTGTTACTTGAACAAAAGCTGTATTTGTGTCTGTGCCACTTACATGACTTCCTTGGAGAGGAAGAATATGTGATCATGCTGGGTTTTGTCCAGGTACGTAAATTTTTTTTTTTTTCTTCTCTTGCAGGGCAGGAGCAGAGATTTCGTCCCCTGAAGTAGTTCTGAAGAGGCTCAGAGCACTAAGCCACAATGGCCCGCTCTTTGCCATTTCTTTCCTTTCTTTCTGGGTTTCCTGGGCTCATCCTGGTTTGCAGTTCCTCCTTTGCCTTTGCATGTACGACAGTTTTCTCACCATGGTTGACCTCCATCACAACGCCTTGCTTGCAGACCTGGCTGTTTCAGCAAAAGACAGGACTAGCCTCAACTTCTACTGCTCCCTCTTCAGTGCCATAGGCTCCCTGTCTGTCTTCATGTCCTATGCAGTGTGGAACAAGGAGGACTTCTTTTCCTTCCGCATATTTTGCGTCCTGCTGGCCCTCTGCTCCATTGTTGGTTTCACCCTGTCCACGCAGCTGCTCCGCCAGCGGTTTCAGGCTGATGGGAAAGCAAAATGGGACCAGGAATCAGCCCTGAAAGAGTAAGGGTCACAAATTCTCAGCAGGGAAAAAGGCCTGACATAGATCTGCAGCAAACTAAATGTGTGAAAAGATCCAGAATGAGGCAAAACTTGTTAATTATCTCTCATTCTTGTCTATTGATACAGTTTTCAGGATCAGCTGTCACACTGGCTCCTCTGAAAATAGAACAAAACTGTCTTGTGTCAGCCCTAGTCCAAACTGGAGGCAGAGGCCTAACTGGCTGTATGGCCATCCAGTGTTTGGAACACAAAATGAGTTCATGTGTAGAGCACCCAGTGAGGCCTGTGAGTGGTAAAATGTCAGAAGCAGCTTATGAAAGCATTCGTGCTTGAGCATGAGACCACATTGCTGCCCATGTCCTATGGAATTGGACAAGTGAATGTCTCTCTCTGTCACTCACTTCAGCTGCCTGACAGTGGCTAGGCTGTTGGTAGGCCACACCAAGCTGATTTTCCCTGTTCAGCTCAGTCCTTGGGCTGCCTCACTTGTCATCTCTTGTTATGAGCTGCCATCATTATGCTGTAGTAGCAGCAGATCCTGATGAGATCTGCCAGGTGAGCTAACTGCAGGGACCTGGAAGAGGAATGTATAGTAGAATGGCAATCAAGTTATAGACTCCACTGTTTTGATTGGTCCAGGAATATGAAAGGTCAGGATGGGGGCTGAGGAGAGACAGCTCTGCATCTACACAGGGAGAGCTGGTGACTCTGTCTTGGTGTGAGGGATTTATGGTTGCTTTTTATCCCTCCTTTTCCTTGAGGCTGTACATTGAGAAACTCTCCGTCCCCCAGGAGAAGAGGATCACCCTGGCAGAGTATCTCCAGCAGCTCTCCCGGCATCGCAACTTCCTCTGGTTTGTCTGCGTGAATCTCGTCCAGGTAGGCACAGAAGTGACACACTGCCATTCAGAGGATGAGTGCTGGCTCTGGCTCTTTGAGATGGATGATTCAGCAGTATGTAAGTTCCTGAGGAAAGGCAGAGATGTTGCCAGCACCCACTTGCTCTTGCAGCCTCCTGCACATGCTGGCCGATTCAGCAGCTGGTAGCCAGTCTCCCTGCCTGTGATTTAGGATACTTCCTGAGCAAGCTGTAGGGTGCCCCTTCCTCTCTCTGCAGCGTAGGCTGGGTTATGAGGGCTGATGAGCTCTGTGCAGCCCATATGGGGTGCAGAAGCACAGGGCCTGGCTCACAGAGGGGATGAGTTTAGGAGTGCTGTTTGCTGGCGTAGCTGTCAGCACAGTCTCCTTTCCCTTTCCGTTTTCCTGAGGCTCACATCACAGTTCTCACTGTCCAGCTGGATCCATCTCTCAGCTGGCTTTGACCATTTCTGTTCTTCACCCTCTTCAGTGATGACTACCAAATGCAGGCAGCCTGCCAAGCTTTGTGTGCTGCAGTTATTGCTCCCTGAGGATCCCTCAGTTTCCCTCAGGCAGATGCTGGTCTGCATCTTTGTGTTCAAGCCTCACTGCCTTACCGATGTCCTCCTGCCGGCTGCCTCCTCCCTCCTGCCATGCCACTGTCTCTCCCAGCCTCTGGTCCCTGCTGTCACCTGCTGGCCCTGTCTGCCCTAGCAGCACCGTGCTGTACATCTGGGCAGTGGGGCTGACTTGGGCACAAAGTGGGCATAGCTGATGGCATTGCAGCTCTGCAATCTCAGCCAGCAGTGTTGGAAATGTCACAGCCAAGGTCTTGCTCTGCTGAAATACTCCAGGCCTATCCCGCATGATCCTTTGGCATGGGGCTCCTAGGATAACAGAGCCCAGAGGGCTGTTAGCTTTTTCTGTTCTTTCTCACTGCTGTTCCTGCTGACCAGCTCGTCTGCATGCTGCCTTCACAGGTTTTTCACTGCCATTTTAACAGCAACTTCTTCCCTCTGTTCCTGGAGCACCTGCTGTCAGACCAGATCTCTGTCTCTACTGGATCCTTCCTGCTTGGTGAGTTTCAGGTGGGACTGGAGGGAGTGGCTAAGTTACACAAGACCTGGCCCAAGTCTGGGTTTGCCCTTCCCAAGCTCCATCTGGGGAGAGGTGTGCTCTCACATGCAGGACTCTGGGCTGTACGATTCACACATGCACGCACCTCACATGTTTCCCTGGAACCTCTGAATTATCCTTCCTGGGCACAGAAGTAACTCAGGGCCTTTTCAGTAAGGACAAGCCTGGTGTGCTGGACACCAGGCTCCAGAGAGGTATTGCTCTGAGCACTAGAGGCTGCAGAATGCAGTGTTCCCAGGATGCAGCAGAGAACACAGCCCTAAATTTCATCCCTTCTGCAGCATACAGACCATTTCCAAGCTGCCACAGATATGTGGGCATTGGTCCTAGAGTTACCCTGGGAGGGTTCTGTGCAGGCCAGGTCTGGTCAGGCAGTCCTGCCTCTCTCATTTCTGCTCCAGGGCTGAGTTGCAGCCTCTGCATGACACTGCACAAGTCTTTTTTCCTTTCTGTCCATGAGGTTGATGGAAGAAGGTCTCCCTCTGTAGGAAAGTGTGTGCTGTGCCACAGAGCCGTGAAATAAATCTGCCGCAGCTTTCTGTATATGTATGTTCTGTATATGCAGAGGAGCTGCTCTGTATTGTCCTGCTGGCAATAGCCAACCATTCTGTCTCTCTTGGTATCATGTCTGAGGGCATGGTGGAAGGTGGAACTCCATCAAGCTGTTTCTGCATTTGTCTCTGCTCAGGTGTTTCCTACATTGCCCCCCATCTCAACAACCTCTACTTCCTGTCGCTCTGCCGCCGCTATGGGGTTTACGCTGTGGTGCGAGGACTCTTCTTCCTGAAGCTGGCTCTGAGTGTTGTCATGTTCCTGGCGGGACCTGATCAGGTGTATCTGCTCTGCATCTTCATTGCCAGGTAGGCAAGCACTTCCCCTGCCCTCTGCTTCCTGGGAAGCAAAATGCATTGTCCCTGTTCTAAGAAGAGGAGTGGAAGTCAGGGAACAAGGGGCAGGATCATACATAGGCCATGTGGTTTCCAGCTCTGACAGTACATGGGACAGCTCACTGCAGAGGTCACAGGGTGTCCTGCTGCAGAGTGAGGGAGGCAGTGATGTTCAGGAGGTCACAGACCAGCAGGACTGGTGGCAGCTTGCACCTGCATTTGCCAGCTGCTGAGAGCTTCTCTCCTCTGTAGCCCTCAGTGTGTGCTGCAGCTGCCTGTGAGCCACAGGCCCAATGTGTCCTGTCCCCAGGCTTGTCTGTGTGGGAGGTCAAGACTGATCTGAGGTGTCACTGCAGGGTACAAAGTCTTACTGATAGTGGTGTTCCTCTTCTGTAACAAGGGCACCTGAAATTCTTATTTCAAGTATGGGGAAACTTTTTCAGCCCTTGCCATTTTTTATGATTTGTCACATTTTTCCTGTCATTTGATAGCCCTGTTCAGTGCTTTGCCTGTTGTTCTGCAGCAACCGCGTGTTCACAGAAGGGACCTGTAAGTTACTCAACCTGGTGGTCACTGATTTGGTGGACGAGGATCTAGTCCTGAACCGTAGGAAGCAGGCAGCCTCAGCCCTGCTCTTTGGGATGGTGGCTCTGGTCACCAAACCGGGCCAGACCTTCGCCCCTCTGATTGGCACCTGGCTGCTCTGTGAGTACACAGGTAAGGATGCTCCCGGGGAGAGCAGTGGAGCAGAACAGGGCAGAGTTCAGTGTCTGGCACCTTGTGCTGTGCCCTGGGTGGGTGCAGAGGGCTCTTCAGTTGCTAACCTGTGCGTGGTCTCTGCATCTCCACGGCTGGTCACTCAAAGAGAATGGATAAAGATCCATCCCCACAGCCCCATTCTCACAAACTCTTCTCTGACACCAGGCTACGACATCTTCCAGCGCAACCCCCTGAACAACGTGGTGAGCGCCCAGCCGAAGCTGGAGTCTGCCGCGGCCTTAGAGCCGACTCTTCGCCAGGGCTGCTTTTACCTCCTGGTCTTTGTGCCCATCGCGTGCGCCCTGCTGCAGCTCCTCAGCTGGTCACAGTTCAGCCTGCGTGGGAAGCGCCTGCAGGTGGTGAAGGCTCAGCGGCAGAGCCTGACACAAGGCCAAGCACCAGAGGTCAAAACAATCTAAGGGTGCCTGGGCCCCCAGGATGCTGCTGGTTCCAGGCTGGTGCTGGAGGGCAGGGATGGTGGGCTGAGAAAGCCTGATGTTCATGGTTCAGCTGTGAAATGCTGTGATGCCAATGTTTATTCACTCCAGGTGGTCATCACTGGGGAAGGCAGAGAGGTCCAGCATGTGAGGGACCTGAGATAGATCGCTTGATCTCAGGTGCAAGAACATTTTGTCCCAGCCTGTCCCAGGGAGCAGAGAGCTGCTCATTCCAGCAAAGAGGTGCTGGGTTGCAGGTGCTAGAAAACAGACACATCCCCAATGTACTTTACTGCATTGGGCATTGCTCTGCATTGGGCATGGCTCTAGGGAGCCACAGCCTCTGCAGCTGAGCAGGAGGAGACTGTACAGGGAGTCCTTCACTAGAGCCTTTCACTCTTGTGGAGTGGGAGGCTCCTGAGGGACCAAGTGACGAAGGGAATGATTGTCAAACAGGAGCAGGGATGACAGGACCTTGAAGGCCTTTCCCAGTAACTGGTAGAACCCTCCCACTAGCAGTTCTGTGGTTCTTGGACCAAATCCATTCTTAAGCATTTGTTGTTCACAAGACAATATGCTGCACAGCCAGGATCTGCTGGGTGTGCTGTTTTATGCTGAGGTTCCCTTCTCTGTGGCCTTGTAGAGGAAGTTGTTGCTGGCCTGGAAAAGGTGCTGGGCTCAAACTGAGTTCAGAGCCTTGAGCTGTATCATTTCACTGGGCATCCCATGCATGTGTTTATTCCTCATTTGCCCTCCACAGCCCCTACTACTCAGTGCTGTCACACAGCTGTACCATGAGCCCCCTCTAATTATGGGTGAGGTCAGGGAGCCAGCCCCTAATCCAGCCACTGGAAGTGCCTCCCTGCCCGGGGCAATCCCAGGTGACCTGGTGAGGCAGCCTGGTGCCCTGCCCTCTGGCAGGAGAGCACAGCCTGAAGGAGACACCAGGTCTTGCTTTTGTGCCTTTGATTCCTCTTTGGAGCCTGTCTGACACAGTACTGGGCAGTCACAGGGTCGGGATTTTACCCCTGTGGGGAGGGGCAGACACCTCAGCTCCTCTGTGCTAGAAACAGTGCCCAAGTTAGATCATCTCACCTGCTGAGAGCAGGTCAGAGAGAGCTGAGAGCTGCTGAGCCAGGGACCCTAGGAGAGCAGGTGCTTTGGTCTCCCTGGTTTTGGCTAAGAGCAGACTGACAGGTAATCACCAAAGGGGTCCCTGAGGCAAGGGAGTGACTCCTCAATCCCTGTAATGTGTTTGGGGGCAGGGAGAAGGGATGTGCCAAAGCCTGTGCCTGCCTGCTGCAGGAAGGTGGGCTTGGCAGGCAGTGTTTGAAGCTGTTGCACGTTGAGGGATGTTCTTTGTTTAGTCCCAGGTTCCCTCTGGGGTCTCAGCCCACCAGCCTGCCATCTTGCCTCAGGACATGGCTGCCTTCTGTCTTGGACCAAGACATTCCTGCCATGAGGCTGCTGTAGTTCTTACTGGTTCAATCATAAGTAATTTGTGCAACTTCTGACCAAGTTTGAGAATGATTCTCCATTTCAAAAATTAAAGATGATCTTTTTCTGAATTGCTTGATGATTTTTTTCTAGCCAGTGGCTCTATGCTGGCTGGGTGGATGTGGTGCTGTGGGGATATAGCTGTGGCTGGGTGGAGACAAGGGGACAGCTCCTTCTCCACAAAACTGCACTGAGGCTTGGCTGTTTCTGCAGGGGGCAGAGGGGAGCACCTGCCTTTGAAGGGAGGCATCACTTACTCCTGCTGCTTTGGAAGAGCCCAGATTTAGGCCTGTCCTGTTCCTACACCAGTGGGTGCTGGGGACAAAATGGGACAGTCATAGCACTGGGTGCTGTGCCACCTTCCCTGTGAGAACTACTCACTGCTATCTCTGCAAACACCTGGGCTGGCACCAGCTCTTCTCACAACAGCAGTGGCATCACCCTTTCTCAGCCCAGGGTGCCCTCTTCCACCCTTTCACCTGTCTGCAGTGACAGAAGATTCAGGGATAACACATGAAAGGAGAGTAGATGCAGACACCACGGCTGCAGCCCAGGAATCTCCTCCCACAAAAGCCAGACCAGGAATGCAATCCTGGACCAAAGATGGTGTCTCCTTGCAGTCTGGCCAGCAACAATTCTGCACAGGCAAGAGAACACAAGTTACCTCCTTGAAATTGCAAATGTGGGGAGAGGAGGCCAGGAGGCTTGAGTGTTGTATATGAATGACTTTATTTAAGTATGCTGGGCACCACCAGGCAACATGGTTTGGACAGTGTGCGAGGGAACAGTCAGGCAGACCAAACAAATGCTAGATTGGAGACAGCACCGTCCTGCCCAGTCACTGCAGGTTACAAAATGGAGCACTGCTGCTGCAAGGCCAGCGGAGGGGCTGGGGGGATGGAGAGCACTGCCTGGGGCACACAGTAATGGAACGGAGAGGAATTTGCTGTAATTCCCCTCTGTGTGCTGCAGCAAATCAGCAAGAACACAACCAGTTTCCCAGCAGAAGGCTGAGCATTGATGGCTCTTTTCTGACAGGTTCTTGCTTAAAAAACAGTCTGCTCCAATGGGGTGAGGGGAACAAGCAGCCTAGCCTCAGCTGGGAGAGACCACCCTATGCACCTGCCTACAGCCTCTCCAAACCCAGGGGTGAGCCCCAAGAACGTGGTTCCTGCAGTGGCAACTGGCTGCTGCTTAACGTTTGTCTCAGCTGGGGCAGTGCACTGGCTTTTCCCTCACCTCTGGCAATCCTCCAGCTCTTACCCCATCTCTGCACCTGAGAGTGACCCAAAGGTGATGTGTGGCAAAGAACAGAAAAGAGAGAAACAGGGAGGAACTGCCACCAAGTCCAGCTCCATTGCTACTGCCATGTTCTGCAGAAAACTAATGGGAAAAAAAGAGAGCACCGAATAATGCACAAGTAAAACCGGAACAGTGGCATGCCCCAACACAAGCAGGTCTGCAGGCTGCCCAGGGCTGTTAGAGCAGTACAAGCAAAGCAGCCAGCAGGTGAGCAGAAAGGCACTGCAGTGCAGCAGAACACAGCCAGCAGGACAACTTCCTGCTCACACACGTGCCACCCACACGGCCTCCCAGCGCTTTGCTGTCCCCTCCCCTGGTGCGTTCCCAGTGACCAGCGAGTCCCCACGGAGCAGGGACAGGGGTGGTGCAGGGCTGGCCTTTCCGCTAAGCGTGGGCGCTGTGCGCAGTGCGAACATCGAGCAGCGGGCAGCAGGTGCTCAAAGAAGACCCAAAGCGTAATTCCCGGGTGCTGTGGTCAGTATTTGAGAGATCCTCAGACATTTCAATAAATAAAACAATTCTTACATTACAATGCACCTTCCCAATTATTATTTTGCCCCAGAATGGATAAAGTACACAAGAGTTATGCCTGGCTGTGAATACATGCTCCCTTTGCCCTGACATGGCAGGAAGGAGGGAAACAGCCTCGACTCTTACAAAGAACACGAGAAGTCAGCACTGTAAATCTTGGCAGGTTGAGGGGGAACACACAAGTGCCTTCACGCCCATTCCGGGGTACTTGCTTCCAGAGGAGAAAAGGTATTTAAAACAAGGTACGAGAGAATAACCGTCTAGTACAATGATAGCTGATTAGATTTGCTTTGTTCTACTCCATGCAATACAAACTAAGTCCTATCGCCAACTTCTCCAGCTGTGGTGCAGACCCCACATCAGGCTAAGAAGTTACACACTCATACACACATTCACACACCAAAACAGTGGGGGCAAATGGACTTAACTGCTGAGAATGTGCTTTCTCTTAATAAAAAATATATTAAAAACAACTTCAAAAACTTACTGATGGTGAAGACACCGCTGAAGAAGGAAGTAGCTATGGGGCCTCAGCTATGTGTTTCCAGACAATCCAGGCATTGCAGTCAGGCTGACTAAAGCCTGCACGAGCAGTCTGCAGTGGTTGGCTCCCTTCTGGCTTGCCAGGCAGTTTCTATAAGCTGTTCCCTTTGTTTTTGCTTGTTTTACAATGACAGATGTGACTGTGATACACAAAATAAGGGACTGAAATGAAAAAGGAATGGGCCATTTTGGAGAAATGTAGATTGGTATTTTCTCCTTTCCATTAAAAAAAATAAAACAAAACAAAAAAGAAGTTAGTAGTACTAATACAACCCTCCTGCTGCTGTCGTCTTTGCTCAGTGACATCGGGGCATGCTGGCGCACACACACACACACAGGCAGCTCTCAGACACTCGGACTCAGAAAAGCGAGTTTAAGTGAGTCTTCAGAGGAGACTGAGGACAGGTCCCAGGGCTAGAAGGTTTTTCGGTGGATGGCACGAGCTCCATCTTCTTCATATTCCTTTTTCGAAACCCACATTTTCTTAAAGGTGTCCAGAGAGGCCAGGATAGAGCCACTACAGAGAGACAGGCATGTTACAGGTTAAAGGAAAATGCTGGGGGCACTTTCATAGTATCTCTGCAGAGATGGGCTGTTTCTTTTGTGACACTTCCCCATGACAGTAAGGTGCTCAGTTACACATGACAGATACATTCTCTGGACAGTCACTCTCTCTCCCAGAATCCTCAAATGTGCCAGTACTACAGAGCCTGGCACCACCTGCCCCCTCCCACTGCTGCTTCAAGAACACACCAAGCATTGCCCAGCTGAGTAACACAACCATCCTGACACACAGCACCAGCTGGGATAACAACATGAGAGCTACTGGGCTGTGCCTCCTCAGCCCAATCCCACAGCAAAATGTGTTGCTGTGCAGCACATACATACCCAATCCACGTGGAATACAATCTCTCCTGAGGAGCCGATATCTGGAAGAAAGAGAGAATCAGTCTGTACCTCCCCAAGCTTCAGTCTGCTCATCCTAGCACACTGCCCACACTTCACTCCAGCTAGCACCTGACACAGATGTGATCTCTCCCAACAGAAAGACACCTGGCAGTGCCTCCAAAACAACCACTCTGGTCCAGAATCCTGGACAGGGGTCATGTCAGAGGAGCCACCTTCTCAGTGATGAAACCAAACTGATTTTCATCACAAGAGCAAATGCTGTTTGCATGTGAGTGTCTCAGGAAAGGCATTTCTGATTTGAAGTAAACGGCAGCTGCAGTCTGAGAGAGGTTCTTTCAAGGTCACAGACCAACACACTTGGTAAGTGACAAACACAAAAGAGACGGCTCTTACCCTTATTTTGACATCCTTCGGAGCCAGTTTCTTCACTTCGCTCAACAGCCTGTCACCAAAGCCTACACAAGACAGAAAACGTGCAGTGTGAGCACCTCAGCAAAATCCCAAGTTCCATCCACTAACAATGTGGACATGGCCTATGCAGTCCTATATGAATACCTCATTCCACATCTTACAGAGAGCCCAGCCTGGGGAGGCACAGAACACAGACAATGACATAACAGGACTTTGCCTCACTGAGAGCTCAAACACTGGCACAATGGGCTCTACTCCTCAGCAGCAACCTGAGTCAAGCAAACAAGGTTTTTAGCTAGGACCTCCTCCTTCCCTAGGCATTTATCCTGTGTCCAGCCCATTTGTACAGGGGGTTGAATGGGAAGACTGGATCTATTTGGAGATGTCAACCAGTGGATAACAGACTGATGGGTTCTGGCAGAGGGTATCTTTAGGTCAGCAAGTACCAACTGAGCCCTGAGGAGATGGGTTGAAACCTTTCTGCACACACAGAGCTGACAATCATGTAGGACTAGGACCATTGAACTCTCACACATCAGAGACCTAAAGAAACCTTAGAAGATGGAAGAGTCCTTTTTGGTATCTAGTCTCAGATATCATGAGCTCCAGCAGCAGGAATAAACACAGCTATTCAGTCCTTCTACAAGTATTGATTGGAGGAAAACAGGAAAAGACTTCAAAGCCCAGAAAGTGATGTACGAGGGCAGGGGTCCTGCATACCCAGCAGGGTATGACTAGGACTCAGAAAATTAGAAAGTAAATGCCCTGATAGAGCAGAATTTACACAGCCCTCACCCCAGAGGACAAACTGGGTGATCTGGGTTATCTTCCCAGTTTCACATGAGAAAGAAGCGAGATCAGGTATGTCACAGCACACTGAAAGAGGGGAAGCAGGAACCTTTGAAAAGTGTGGAGCCTCCAGACAGCACAATGTTGGAGAACAGCGTTCGCCTCAGATCCATGTCTGACTTCTGAATGGCAAAAACGAGCACTTCGTGAAGTCCTTCACATTCCTCCCCTATCAGGTCCGGCCGGAACAGGAGCTCTGGGGCTCGGAAACGGGCAGGGCCAATCTGCAAGAGCAGAAGTTAGGACACAGGGAAGAGAACAGTGTGGCTTTCTTCACTACCTACAGATGGGCCTGCCTTTCTTAGGTGAACCTTCAGAGTAATGAAACTTCCTGAACATTCATTTTGCATCACTAGATCCCAAGTGAATGCCAGTCTGGACTACAACCCCTACAAAGGGCACCATTTCCAATTTGCAGATGAAAGAGATGAAGAAACTTGTTCAGCCCCATACGGCAGGTCTGGCATAAAGGGAGCAAATCCAGCCCTGGTAGTGGAGGTAAAACCTGTATTTCCTCTCTTTCAACCATTCTATACTGGGCTGAGTCTTCTAAGGAGTATTCTTAACTCTTCAAGTCAACTGTTAATGCACAGGAGACAATTCTAGGCAGGACAAAAGGCACTGTATATAAAACCACAGAGGGATTTAGTGAGCTGACACCTACTCACAGTCCATACCTGATCTGCATAAAGTTTGTTAGATCAGAGCCTGCTCTCAAACAGCTCAGAGTCCCCATTGTTACACTGCATCCTTACCCAGGACTTCTAGCAGAAGTTGTGAGGTTTCTAGTAAAGTTTTCTTTCCTTAAAAATTCTAGTGCCCAGTCAACAGCCTAGGATGAGTTATGGTCTTTTAAAATTATCCCCTCTCACCTAACACTGCATGAAATTTCCCATCACTGAGGAGCTTTTCTGGAAACCCTGTGCCTCACATGAGGAATTCTCTAAAAGTGGTCTTTACAAACCTCAATAGTGCTTCCATCTGGCAGGTAGTACTGAGCCTTCTCAGTCTCCAGAGTCTCATCCTTCTGGGGGTTTATTGACAGGTAGCAGGCACGCTGGAGAGGAAACAGGGTCAAGGAGAGAGAGATGAGATGGGTAAACCCAAATGCCTCTGATAAAATGTTTTCCTCACTAATAATCAAAATCCATGTATCCCTTCGGGGAGACTGATTTCAACAGTATTATGTGCTAGAGAAAAGGACTTTAAGGTTCACAACAGACAAACTACATTGCAATATCCCACTTGTGATCCCTAGCTGCCATGGATTTTACTCCATGAAGGGAAACAAATACTACTGAAAGCCATCATCAGACCCTGAAAAACTGCAGCACAGAATTAGCAAAACTAATTCTGAACCACCAGCCCATCTTCACCTCCACCTGGTGTTAACACCCTCTCAACAGGGATTAATGTGATTTTGACTATAACTCTCTCAGAATACGGGACAGCTGAGGTTGCAAATGACCTCTTGCAAATGATCTTGTCTATGCAGGGTCCCCTAAAGCAAGCTGTCCAGGACCACATCCAGGTGATATTACCAAGGATAGAGACTCCACAACCCTGTAGACAAACTGTGCCTGCACTTGGTCACCCCCAGGCTAAAGAAAGTTAATGTTCAGACAGAACCTCCTGTGCTTCAGTTCGTGTATCTTGTCCTGTCACTGGACATCACTGAAATGAGTCTGGCTCTGTTTTCTCTGCACCCTCCCTTCAGACATTTATATACATCAACGAGACTCTCCCCAAACATTTTCGGTGGCTCAACAGTCCAAGCTCTCCCTGCCTTTCCACATGTAAGAGTCCTTTAATCATCTTAGTGGCCCTGGACTCCCTCTACCAATGGATTTAGGTGCAGAGCTAGGTAGACTGACACTTCTCACCAGATTTCACAAGCCACAACTTCCCTTGAGAAGAAATCCCCTCTTGGACAAACACAGAAACAAGGCAGGGCATCACCTCCTTGATGGTCTTGACAATCTCAAACTCAGAGGTTGTGTGGAAGTCATAGCCTTCCTTCCGGAGATAGAGGCGCAGGAAGCGGGAGACGTCCCGGCCAGCGATGTCGATGCGCATGATGGAGTGAGGCATGGCAAAGCCTTCATAGATGGGAACCGCGTGGGTGACGCCATCCCCAGAGTCCAGCACCACTCCCGTGGTCCTGCCGGTCGCGTAGCTACCAAGGGACAAAGGCTCAAGTCAGAACAAGGAACTCAAAGTGAGCCCAGACAAGCAGCACATCCACGCTCAACTCAGGAAGCAAAGATTTCATATAAAACAGGGCCTAAAAACCCCTCAAAATGCAAGTTCTGTTGGCAGTTCAGCAAATTTCCTGTAAACTCTTTATTACATAAATTGAGTTTCAGTTCTTGCATGAAAAATGGGGGAAGACATCAGTGAGGTCTTCCATGATTTTTTTGTAGAATGGATTTCATGGCAACATTCCACAAACACAAATCAAAGATGAAAGACACTTACAGGCTAAGCACAGCTTGCATGGAGATGAACAGTGCTGGCACATTGAAGGTCTCAAAAAACACCTCAGCAGCACGCTCTCTGTTCTTGCGTGGGTTTAGGGGTGCTTCTGTCAGCAGCACAGGATGCTGGGAAAGAGAAGAAGGAGCTGTGCTGCAGTAACCAGGAGGCAGTAGTGGTGTGTTCCTAAATGTTTCTGCTTATTTATTCATTTTAGGAACCACTGGTGCAAGAGGGCAGGTACAAAGGAGTAATTTCAGCTGAGCTGTATTAGATTGAATAATCTCTATTAGGCTGGAAGACCAGCAGGGTTCTGGTTTAGTTATGAAGAAGTGTTAGGAAATGTACTCTGTGAGTAACTCTGACCCATGAAGAAGAAGTAGGATGACTCTCAATGAGAAAAATCAGCCAGATAAGCCAAAATACACACCCTAAGAAAGGGTGAAGGCATATGGTCTTTCAGCACAGGCAGACAGAAATATTCCTACTCCACAACTTAGATTGCTCTCAGAGATTTAATAATTTTTTGGTCTGATCCTTCCAGACCACAGGACTGTGGTTTCGTCCTTCCTCACTTCAACTTATGTCACTGCTGAGTGGATATGCCTGATGTGCAGGCAGAACAGGAAAAGTCAGAAACACTTGGCCAAGAGTAGAATCATTAGAGAGAGTGTAAACAGCAAATGTGAAAGGCAGATTTTCAGTTAGGCCAGACCATCATGTCTGGAGAAGAATTCTGCTTGGACAATTCTTGTGCAGTATCTCCTGAGGTGAAAGAACCTAATTTAGCAACAGACACACATTCAGAAAGAAGGCCAAAGGAAAAGTCCCAAATCTTTCCAAGTTCCAAGGCTCCTGGTGTTACACACACTGAATGACGCCTGTGCCTTTCCATAACGTGGTCTCTCACCTCTTCTGAGAAAGTCTGGAGCTGGTCTTTAGAATACACGTACTGCCAGATGCGCTCCATGTCATTCCAGTCCTTCACTATGCCATGCTCCATCGGGTATCGGATCGCAAGAAGACCTCTGTGCTCCTGAGCAAACAGGAAGAACAAGAGAGCATCAGAGCTTCCAACAATCCCACTTCTGAGCACTGTGACTTACTGTCAGACTCACCTACAGTTTTGATTCCACTAAAAGATAACTTATCTATAGCATACAGGGCAAAACCTGAACATTCATCACAAACGTCTCTCCCAGAGAAGCCAAGCCTAGACAAGGCCTTTTCATACCAAGTAGGAATGTCTACATCTGACATTTGCAGAGCATATTCCATCAAAACACTTTTAAAGTCAACACACACAGACACCTATCATATGGTATCTTTGTACTACCAGATCAGCCATGACATAAAAAAAACATAATAGGATGTTACTGGGGAATGCAGTTCGAAGGGCTCACAAGAAATGTGACCACACAATTGACTACATGCTGACAGAAGCAGGACTGCGGAGAGAAGCTTCCTGCCCACAACAGGGAGATACACAGCAATTGAGTAGGGTCCATTTCTAAAGTTCCCAGTCAAAAGTGTGTAACCATATAGAGCTAAAAGCAGCCTAAAAAGAAAAAGAGAGATATCAAAGGCCTGTGTCAGCAGATTGGCTGACATTAAGCTTCACATTCCACCTTGGACACACATGCAAGTGACAATCTGTTCTCCTCTTTGGACCTACACAATACCAAAGAACCACAGCCCAGCTGCCACATCCCCCCCTTTCAGCAGCACACTGAGATATATGGACAAGTGCAGTGTACAGGTGCTCTTACCTCTGCCTTTGGACCAATGAAAATGTCCCCTTCTAAAGCACCAGCCATGACACGAACGTGCTTTGGTCTGCCCACACTAGAACAGAGACAACACAGTAAATGCTTCTACAAAGGGCTCAGATGCACCCAAGGATTGCATACTTTGTGTTTCTCTCTGTCCTGACCAGAACTTTCTCAGTGGGTGAGTTTGGGGGTGCTACCAGGTGCAAACAGACCCAGGTTTGCTCTGAGCTAATCTCAGAAATCAGAGGTGAAGGGGACAGACTGTAGACAGTTCTGAACTGGCTGGACATAAACCAGCTGAATCTGGCCGTATTTTCACTGATTATTCAGGACTCACCTGTTTCAACAGTGCCTGGGATGAACATGGCTAGACTGAGCAATTGTCTGAGGTGTTGGATCCACATGTGCTGCCAGACCTCAAGCAGACTTCTCAGATTAGACATTTGTGTCCCATGACCCACCATCCCATACAGAACATATTGCTCAGAACACAAAACTACTCACTAAAAACCCACCACACTGAAAATAAAGGCCAGTGACTATTCATAGTTCCTGTTCCAGCAGTCTTCATCCTGGCAAAACTCTTAGAAAACTCACAAAAAAGTCTGGCAGAAATCAAGACATCATACCACACACTGAGAAAATACAAAGGTCTTCACACTTCTTATGCCAAATTTTACTTTTTCCAGGTCCTTTTCCTCATATGTGCAGATTAAAGGATCCTACAGCTTTGGTTGTGTGTTGAGCCTGACAAAGTGAGGTCTTTTATGATCTGTGTGTGTGTCCCCAAAATTCTCAAAATATTTAACAGTGGAGCTCTCATCTCCCTGATGCTTCTCTGCAGCAGGCAGAAAAGAATAACTCATTTTTCCATTCATAAAACTGGGCAATTCTCCCCCTCTATATATCAAAGAATTGGTACACAGTACTAAGAAGCTGCCAAAACCAGCAGAGTACTTACTAGTTAGGAAAGCAGTATTTTGGTATTTGATCGCCCGCAAAACCTGCTTTAATCACACCCGAGCCCTGTGGAAGCAAGAGACAAATACATGAGCTTATCACTCATTCCATCATCTTCACAAGTTTTAGAGGAGCAGCAAAGTACACCAGGACTGCCACATCCTCTCCTTTCTACTAGGAATAAAGCTCCCAAGGGACTGGCTCTCCAGGCTGCTTGGGGATGGGAAGTGCCAGCTGGGCTGTTGGAGGGAGTGACTGGCACCCTCTCTGACAGTGACATATCTCACAGGGCACAACCATTCCATGCACCCTGGTACTGCCCTGCACACACCCAAACACCCTGTATGGACGAGTATTTTTCTAGCCAGGGTTACATGAGGGAAGCTAAACCCACACTCCACAGGGGTCTATCAATATTAGATAACCTTTGGGGGGAGGAGAACACTCCAGAAAGCCCAGCAAGAACAACTGAGCTCTGCCAGCTTCAGGAGGCACTGGAAGAATGAAGGCTACAGGCCTCTCAGAAGGAGATTTGGAAAAGATGGAGGGAAGGCAGATAAAGTCAGAGAAGGAAGTAGCAAAGAACTGTGAGAAACAGACTGGAGAAAAAATAGGGAAAAGATGATCAGATGGTGGATGAACTAGCTAATGCTAAGGAAGCACAAGTGTGGTCAGAAAAGACACTGGAAACCAAACCAGACTGTGACTGGGAAAGGACAAACATTCCAGTTACACTGCAAGGGGAAAGGCTGGGGGCAGGAAGCACAGCTGATAGGACAGAGCTTGTTCAGAGGAGTCAAAGAAGAGATGAGAGATGGCAGTCAGGAAGGCACAGATCCAAGAGCCTCCTGCAACATTCAAAGCAGCAGACACAGGGTGGGTAAAACCAGGCACAGCCAGGCCCTGGCAGGGAGTCAGTGCCGGCATCTGGCCCCACCGCTCTCACTCCCTGTGCGGAAGCATCCTGGAACACCATCATCAACTTGGATCTGTGCAGACTCCTTCCCCTCCTCCATTTCCTCTCCCTGCACAAGGGAATGACATCTTGAAACAATGAGCAGCTTGCAGGAACACCCAAGTTTTGCTAAGGAGCGGATTTTCATAGGATCTCCTCAGATAAGCCGTTTCACTGGTAATCCCAGCCTACCATGGGCACGAGCTCTCCTGCAGACCGAGGAACAGTTCTGCTTAGCCCCATGGTGGGAGCCAAGTGTGTGTGAGCTTGCACTGAAAGCTGTGACCTGTCAAGTGCCTGTTCACTCTCAAGGGCTCTGCAGTAGGAATGCCCTGGTTTGGAGGCCAAAAAGATATTTTGGCTACCCCACTGCATTTTAAAATGAGCAGCAACACAGCTCCTCCATAGCTCTCCACTTCTCACCACCTCTGCATGGGTCAGCACCACCACTTTTGCTTTGAGGCTGGGGCCAGATGAGTTGCTCAGGGCTCTGACAAGCAAGCCCTGGCTGCAGTGGTTTCCAATGCTGCCTTCCCAGTGCCAGAGGTTACCAGCCAGAGCAGGCTCAGCAGAAAGGAATGTGGGGTGGCCCCAGCCTCTCCCGTTCACAGTCCAGCGTTTGCTGCCAAGCTACTTCCAGCAGCAGCTTCAGCAGGGATGTCAGGCTCTGCACAGAGTGTGCACTCTGCCACCAGAGCCAGGACACCCCTGCCTCTAAAGCACCAGAGTCAGATTTGCCAGGACTCATCTGTAGGAGAGGAGTGTCAGGAATACTCTGCAAACCAGACACAGCTATTTATAAAGCATATGAAAGGCAGATTGCTTGAATCCTTGTCTCCTGATAAACACCTGCAGCCAGGCTGGCTCCAGAGCACGCCCAAGCTGCCAACAGGGCAGGACTAACTACTTCCTTTCCACACAGGGAATCAGCTCCAGGTGCATCCCAAGGTCTGCACTAACTGATGTCAGTGTGACAAAATGGCAGGTGAAGTGTTAAAAAGACTTCCCTTGACACAGACTCTCTTCTGGTATTCCCTTCAAAGTGAAACAAGGAACAAACCAAAAAAACTATTTTGATTTTGCTTATCATAGCTTATAAACAACTCTCTACCTGGGAAAGAATACCATCCTGTGGCAAGTCTTGCAGAAAAATAACTGAATGAAATGCAGTAACATAATGTAATCACATTAGAATATTACACTTAGTGAATATTTTGTTCAGGATTATGAACAGTCTTGTTGCTAGCACATTCTGCTGCGGGGAACTGGTTTCAGGAGAACAATGATGCTCCTATTTTAACTTAGAGATTAAAACTTCCTTATGTCAGGCCAAAAAATTGCCCAGCGTGTCCTGGTGAGATTCCCAGCAAGTTCTGTATTTTAAGATTTACATACTGAAGTTCAAAGTTAACCAAATGTGTTGGGAGTTCAGAACTCCAGCTTGGAGTCAAAGACAAAGGACTGCTTTGAACGTGCCGGTGGGATGGGGCTTCAACACAACTGTGCTTCCAAGGGCCTGGGAACAGACCAAGAACAGCTGGTTGATATCTCTGCACTACAAAGACCTGCCTGCACTTTCTGACCTATTCAATTTTTCTTGAAAACATTTTACTTCTTTGAAGATATGTGCACACTGAGTAAATCTGTTTATTATAGACCAGTTTGAGATTCCTATGCAATGAGAGGAAAATGTTTACATTTTGAAAGAACTCTGATTCAGAAGGTTTAAAGACCTGTTTTTTCATCTTTGTTTCAAATAAGCAAAAACACATGCATCTTCTGTTACAAACTCTGATTTATTAAAACTTTAAAAAAAAATTGAAAAATTTATATACTTCCACCAGTAACTATCCTGGCGGGGTATTCATTCCATTTTATCTGGCAGTGGTTTATCTTTTTTTTTTTTTTTAATGAGAGCAAAAGAATAAAAGAAGAAAAACTAGAAGAAAAATGTAAAAGTCAAGAAAGATAAATTCATTAAAAATTCTTGTGAGTGTCTTGAAGGAACTGAACATACCTCATCCCTGAACATGCCTCATCTACTAGCTCTGTGGCCAATTGGTTATGGATTCATTCACCTTGGTGCATTTAGAACTCAAATTTAAATGAAAATCACCAATCAATCTTCCAAGTAGCAAATGTAGCACTTTCTATGGAGAGTGCACATTTCATATTGTTGTGAAACTGTTTTATTTGATACAGAATTTATAAGATCAAGAACAAACCAAAGACACAACAGTCCTTGCTGACAGCTCAGCTGTATGCAAACAAGAGATAATTCCATGTTCCATGAAGGTCAAGAAATTTGCACTGACTTAGGCCACAGCTGGACTACTGACATGTGCATTATGTTCAGCAGGGCTCCCAGACCATTCAGAGAGAGCTTGTTGGACTGCAGATGGGAATACAACTCTTAAAAATTAGACAATGGAGAGTATAAAGTTGTGCTGAGGTACAGCTCCAACCTCCCACTGTACATTACAAAGCTCTCCCTGCTGAAAACATACAGCTAACAGCAATGTGCTGTAAGAGGGAAAAAAAACCTCTCTGCTAATTTTTTAGGTACAGAACTTCATGTCCTTTTGGAACACACTGAGATTCTAGAGCAGGGCTGGGACTGGAGGGGTCTGGCTCTCCCCAGCTCAGTATCTCACTTCTCCCTTCCCACACACAGGCATGTGAGACAGGATAACATTCAGCCTTCAAAAGGTGCTGCAGCTCTCTGCAGAAAAGCAGTCATGGAACAGCAGTGGGAAGAGTGGTACCTGCTCTGTGCAGCTCCACTTCCCATCCTGCCTGAACTCCAAAGAGTGAAAACTGCAGTGTCACCACGAGCCTCCTTGGCCCACAGCCTGCCAGCGTTCCAGGCAGATGCTGCAACAACTGCTCCATTCTGCTGCTTGTCCAGGGAGGGGAAGGGGGGAAGCTCGTTTATTGGGGAGGCAAGAACAAGAATCAGCTTTATAAGACCAGCTGATAAAATGAAAAAAAGACTCAGAATCAGCCGCTGGCACATGAGCCGTCCTTCAGGTCTGAGGCAGAGGCAGCAATCATTGCACTAAATAACAAAAGGACAAGCTGAAATTAAATATAGGCTGCTACTACATTAGTAGCTCAACAAAGTGATCCTCACAGTGCCAGAACACCTAGAAATAAATTTATTGTTTAGCTAATCACTCAACAACGCAGCAGGATCAATGCTGATACGGGCATTCCTAAAAACAATCAACCTAATGCATTTTTTAACATCTTCAATAAAGAAGATACATGTTTTTCTCAACATAGTCAATTTTACTGCTTACTCTCATTTTCTATTAGATGCTTTCCTTTAATGTCTAACTCAAATTCCTCTGCTGTAAGATTCCAGGGAAATAAACAAAGCCAAAACTGTATCAGAGAGCTCAAGCTGTAGAGAGGAACTTGGGATCCATAATAAAGAAAAAGTCAGAAGAATAACCACCTTTATCTGAGACCTACAATTATTCACTTTATGGAGAGTTAAAGCAATATGCTGAGAAGTGCCAGGCCAAGAAACCCAATTCATATGGCAAAAAAATTCAGGAGAAATTAAGCGTGTGGAAGAAGAATGGAGCACAGTACTGACCCTTCAAAACAACAGAATCTCAATCACTGGCGATAGAGGTCAGAAGGGAGGAGCACGGGTTTGTGACTCAGTACACTGAAGGAGGCTCTGTCCAAGACATGCCCTCCCATTCCTTCCTGGATGGTCCCTCCTCCTGGGAGGGCAGCACGGATGGGGCAAATCAGAACTGTATCCAGAAGTACCTCAAAGAGGCACGGAATCACTGTCATTCATCTCCCGCAGAGCAATTACACACACAGACTGACGGTCTGCTTTGTGCTAATCAGCAACATCAGCACATTGGAGCAGCCATCTGCACCACCACACTACGCTGATGCAACCCTGGGCACAGATCCGTCAGCAGTGGCATTCCGAGGCACGGGAATCCATGCCTTGGGAACGGCACTGCCTTGCTGTGAGCACTGCGCTGGATGCGCTGGAGGAGGGGCAGTACAAGAGGTCAAGGCTTCTGTCTCGCTTTGCCTGTGAGGGGTGCCTGCCTGGAGAGCTCCATGTCCTGCATGGGCCCAGGGAAGCGCCAGCACCCCCAGAGCTCGCCGGGGGGTGCATCCACGGCCTGCCAGGAGCACGCTGGAACCCTGGCCAAGGCCGGCCCCGCAGCACGCTGGGAGTATGGCCATGGCCTGGCCCGGCACCCCCATTGTCCCCCCGGCACAAAGAGGGGTGGGGCGGGACCGGGGAAGCCCCGCCTGACTGACAGCGGCAGCTGCCAATGAGCGCAGGTGCTCTGGCGACGGTCCCGCCCCGCTCCGGCAGGTAGCAGGGGGCTGCCCCGCTGACTGACAGCTGTCTCAGCCAATGGGGGCGCGCCGCCCCTCCCAACCAGAGGCAGCTTGGCGGCAGCGGGGGCTGCGCCCCCCAGCGCGGGGCAGAGGCCCCGCTGCAGGTGACTGCCAGTCGCCCCAGCCAATCGCGACTCGTCGACGCGAAGTGGCCCCGCCCCCCGCGAACGCCGTATGGCGCCGTGAGAGGACCGGAGGCGGCGGCCGAGCCGGCCGATGTGGGGGGGCGGCGGCGGGCGGGGCGCGGCCGCCCCGATGACAAAGGGATTGCGGGCCCTCCCCGCTCCCGGGACGCGCGGCCGCCCGCACTCACGTTGTCTATCACGACGGGTTGGTTCGCTATCACATCGTAGGACTCCATGGCGAGGACCCGCCGCAGCCGCCCGTGAGGGAGCAACAGCCCAGCCCTCGGCGGCGCATGCGCGGAGCGGCGACGCGGCGCCGCCTGGGTGATGTATTCCTGCCGCCGCGGCGCCTGCCGGGAGCTATAGTCCGGCGCTGCGCAGAGTCAGCGGGGAGGTGCCGGGAGCGGGGCATGCTGGGAGCTGTAGGCCGGAGCCGGGAGCGAGCCATGCTGGGAATTGTAGGCCGGCGGAGGAGCGGGGCGTGCTGGGAGGCGGAGTGCGGAAAAATGGAATTCTGCGGACACATCCACGGCCCAGAAACCGGTGGGTGTTGCGGTTCAGGAGACAGCTGGGTACTTCCACCAAGAATGTTGCATCGCAACTGGCTGGCTTATGCTTAATAGATTTCCCCTCGCCTAATTTTTTCTAATAGGAAAGGAGAAAAAGGTGATACCATCAACTTCTGTAGCCGGGATCTATGACTAAGGAAAGTGTTTTACTGTCCCATAATTTCATGTGATCATCTTTACGAACTACTGGTCACAACACATCTGTTCCCTCCAGGAAATACCAGTTTCTCTCAATTTTTGAGGCACGAGAGCCACACAAGAGGTGTCAGTATAAAGAATGCACATCATGAACATGTCAGTATTGAACAATGAACACATTGTCATTTTCTATTGACCAAGTATTCTAAAAGCACTCGGAATAATCCATGTCTGAAACTCTGGGTCTTGAAATTCATTAAAATGGACTTCTATGCCAGTGGGAACACCTGAATGCTTGATTCATCTATCTTGTCCCACATTTCTCCTGCACACATGGACTTTTCTCTTGTAGTTCGTAGCTTTAGCCCCAGTAGATAAATTTCATCCCAGATGTTTATCTTTAGCAACCTTCCCCATTCTCCTAGTCTACAAGAGGGAGCTTTTGTACAACAGGATTGAGGGGTTTAAATTAAGGGTAGTGTTGTATCACTTCAGTGAATGCCAGGAGACACTCTCTATGGGTGTGTGGAGCCAACACAGCCTTTCATACATACTCTGTTACATTCACCTTCTCAGCTGACTGTAGCTGACTACTCGGGCAGATGTCACAAAAAGAAGTATCACAGTAACAGGACAAGTGAAACATTTTTCACTGTGGGAAGTGAGGACACCAACTGCTCACCTCCTCTATCAGGGGATTGTCACTTGGTGTCAGCTTCTTGACCATGTGTGTTCTCCCAAATGGTGTCATGAATGTTTTTAGAAGAAATTCTCACCTATTTAAATGAGAAATGCGAGCATGAGCGCCCACCCTCTCCTCTGAGCACTCTATAGCTCATCTTTTCCTATTTGCTGATTAACAAGCAGGACCCTGCTCTAGCAAAGGTGTGGGACTATCATGCACACACCATCCACATGTACATACCTGGCTTTGCATGGCCCCAGTTGTAGTTGCGGCTCACGAATGAGCCAGATCGTCAGTGTGAGCCCCAAACTTCACCCATTGCCAGCTTCCAGCTGCCCGCAAGGGCCCTACAGACACAGAGATCGCACGGGGAGAGGAGAGATGCCTTGAGCACTGGAGGAGGTGTGAAGGCAGCAGTAACAACCGCCCTATGTCCAGGCCTGCCCCGGGGCGGGATCTCCCGCTCCCCCCGGACCGGCTCCGCGTTCCCGCCACCGCCTCGCGCGGCCATCGCCCCGCCCACCGCAGGACTCCGCGCCGCCGCTAGGGGGCGCGCCCGCAAGGCAGCGAGGGGCGGGGGCAGAGGCGCGGCCGCCCTCCGGGCCGCGAGCTTCCATTGGTCAGCCGGTCCTGTCATTCACGCCACCCTCGCAGCGGGGCACCACCCCCTCCGCGCGGAGCCCCGCGCAGCGTCGCCATTGGCGGAGCTGGTCTGTCACTCAGGCGGCCCGGCAGTAGGCCCCGCCCCTCCTCCGCGGCCCCACGCAGCCGCTTGGGCCGGGCCGGGCCGGGAGCGTCTGGCGGGAGCGGAGCGGCTTCGGCACCAGCTGGGACGGGCGGGACCAGCCGCCTCCGGGACATGGAGGGCGTGCGGCCGGGCGGGGGGCCCCCCGCGGGCGGGCCGGGGTCCGGCTCGGGGTCCGGGTCTGCGTCCTTCCCGTCGCTGTTCCCGCCGGGGCTGCACGGTATCTACGGCGAATGCCGCCGCCTCTATCCCGACCAGCCCAACCCGCTCCAGGTCACCGCCATCCTCAAATACTGGTGAGGCGGCCTGGATGGGGCCGGGGTCTTGCGTGGAGCCGGGGGGAGCCGTGGGGCCGGCGCCTTGTGTGGGATAGGAGCGGGTTTGGGAGGAGTGGTGGGAGCGGGAGAGGTTTGGGAGAAGCCCGGGGGCTGGGGACGTTGCACGGGGTAAGCTGGAGGGGCTGGGGAGGGTTGCAGCAAGGGGAGAGGGACAGGGGGTTGCGTCCTGTGTTAGGGGTGAGGTGCAAGAGTTTTGGGGACATGCAGCGGGTCGGGGATGGAGGGATTGGGGGTGCAGTCGGTTGCCTGGGGCGTGTGTTTGGAGGGGGCTCCTGGGGAGAATGTGCTGGCAATAGGAGAAGGGTCTAGAGAGGTGTGCACTGAAATCAGGAGAGTGCATTGGGGTTTCTGGGGTGGTTTGGAGGGTCCCCGAGTGAGGGGTTGCTGATGAAGGCCCACGCTGGGACAGATCTTGGGAAAAGGGAGTGCGTGTTACTCAGTGGAGGTGTTCCCGCAGAAGGTGAGGGTCTGGAGTTTCCCCTGGACAGGAGGCAGGAGCTCTGTCTCTGGCAGGGACCCTGGGGTTCCAGTGTGGCAGCACTGACCAGAGTGAAGCCGCTGTTGCAGCCTGCAGGCTGGACACTGCCCTGTGTACCCATACAGCCCACGGGGCAGTGCCAGCTTCGCTTGGCCTTACACAGCCATGCCTTATCACAGACTGTGGATCTGCTGTGCAGTGTCTCTGCTGACACAGTGTCTGACACCAGGAACAGCAGTTGTTTATGTGGGAGAGTGGCATGAAGGAAGTTCTTGGATGTTTAGCTATCAAGATAAGTGTCTAGCATCTAATCCTGTGTGAAGAGGAGTTCCTTTTGCTTTTTGCTGTCGCTTAGCTGCTCAGCCCCCTCTTCTGGGGCTAAGGAACATGATCAATCACCTCTGAAAGTTTGCTTTATGTGACATTGGCCAGTCCCTACCCCAGCACTTGAAAAAACTAAATGCTGAACTTCTTTATTTACAGCTCATTTCAACCTGTATGTTTTTATCTAATTAGAGTCCTGAGCAACAGCAGAATAACATCCTCCCTGTGTGCTGCTCTGACAGACAAAGCTATTGCTGTTGTTGTCCACAGAAGTGTAGTTTTTTAAGTGATTCTAGCAAGAAGTTTATCTGTTAGCCTTTATTGCCTAGGGGAGTATTGTATTTAAATGGAGCAGTGGGCTGACATAAGATTTTGCAAATCTGAGACTTCAAAATATAAATAATTTCTTAGTCATCTGTGCACATCAGTACTTTGGTGGTGGTTTGATCAGTCTGTTTTCACACTTATGTGTAATGTTAGATACTCATGAAGTGTTTCCAGTCACGTTAGCACTTCTTTTCTATCAACAGCTTAAAGCATACTGGCTATAGTGGTGTAGGATTTGTGGAGGTTGAGGGAAATTTAGGTCTATAGTGAAGAATGGCAAAGACCCTTGTTTGGGAAGAAATCTTGTTGCTTAAGGGATTGATGAGGGTTTTGCTGCAGTTGGAGCTCAAACACTAAAATGATTACTGCTGGCAGTGATGGCAGGTTGCAAGTAAGAAGTAATGTGAAGGCCTGTTTATCCTGGCATTTTCCACTTAGTGGTTCCTCCAGCTGTTAGCTCAGCCAGCAGCGAGAGCTGAGAGCTTCTGTTGTAAAGGTGAGCTTCCTACTGCTGTCCTGGGCAGGAAATGCTTGTGTGAGGTAAAGCCTCCACGGGCGCCACAAAGTCTTTCTTTCCTGTTGTTGGGTGAACCTTGGAGCTTGGTTTTGTTATGTCTGGTAGAACGACTCCTGCCACAACACTCTCTCTCCTACTCTGTCTGGGCTGCCAGCTATTCGCTGGTTAAATTAGAAGAGGAAGTGGCTAAATGAAGTTCTCTGCCTTAGGAGAAATATTGTAACACTAATCAGCTTTTAATTATATGTATCAGTTTCTCTATGGTTAACAGCAATTTGGTTTTTTTGTTCGGGGAGCTGAAGTTGTAGTGTTTGGCTTGCAGATCAGAGCAGATCCTAACTGTGTAATGCTGGAGAATCTGCAGCACTCCATGCCTGTTGCACAAAGGGGTTTAGCCATGTGGATTATTTAATGGAACTAGTCTTTTAAAATGCTATTTGCATTGCTTGGGATCCAGTCAGAACTTGGAAGAGTTTCTGTCTGTTTTTGTGAAGGCCATGCACCACGATGGAGTTTGTCTGTTGATATCCAGTATTCCCTTTAATTATAAAATATGGTCAAGTATCTCAAATTGAAATATCTTGTGTGGAATTGCTGGTGAAAAAATCAAATTTGTTCCTTTTTTGTGATAGGTTTTGAAAAAAGCATAATTTGGGCTCGACTACTGGGTTTTTGTCACCTGTCTTAAATTTAGGCCATACTCTCAAAAACCTGTGCAGTGAGCTGTGGTCTGCGGCCTTTTGGGAATCACAGACTACTTCTAAAGGGTTGTCAAAAGGTAGCTGTGAAAAGCAATCCTATTGTCAGCTGCTGGGAAGTGGCTACAGACAATACACTAAGGACTTTTCAGGGTGAATGAATTAGGAGTTTTCCGATGTCTTTCCATTTTGGGTCTCTTTCCTCTGCGTTTCTCCTTCCACACAAACTTCAGGGCGCTCTTAACATCAGTCAAAAGAAGACTCTTGGTGCAGATGCAAATACAGGGTTTCCCCTGAGGCTGCCCTTCCTGCTCCTGAATGAGCTCCATGAATAGAGAATGTAACAAATTTGTACTGTACCTCTGGCTTTGAAGTTGGGCTCTTCCTAATAAAATCCTCCAACGCTTCCAGCTCTTTGTGTGAGTGCATGTACTGATATGTAGATTGTGATACAAGGTCGAACCCTGCCGCGGCGGCCGTGGGCGGGAGGAGGATGTACCTCAGCAGTGCCGACAGGGAGCAGTGAAACCTGCCGCCGAAACTGGATAAATATCTGTGCTGACTAACCCTTGGTGAGCATTATTGCCATGGCTGTGTAACTGAGTGCTGCAGGTAGCTGGCTTAAAGCTCATGCTGGATGTTTGTGCAGTTGCGGTGGTTTTGGGATAGGTGTATGGCTTGGATATGTGTTGTTCAGAATTTAATTAGTCACTGCTGCACGGTTTTAGTCTACATCTCTTCCAAGTGAGATTTCTCAGTGAGTAAAGATGGTGTGGCTGGATCATTGAGCAGCATGTGAACCACTTGGTAGTGAACTCTGGGCAGGGCTGAGCTCAGCTCCTCCAGGCCACCTGGTGCCACTTTGCCGTGGCCACCTCTTGGTAGTCTGGTGCTGCAGGTCTCCTGAGAAGTTTGGCCTTTGGAGACAAACACAGGATTGCTGGCAGGAGTGAGGGAGAGGTGTCTGGCTTGCCTGGGGCTGTCCTAGGCAGGACTTGCCATCTGCATCAGACCTGACAATTGTGTTTGAGTAGCCCTAGGGAAGAGCATGTGCTCATGGAATAGTGCCTGTCCTGAAAAGGGCAGTATAGAGGTTTCTCTTGTGTGTTGTCAGTGTCAGAGTGCCTGTGTCAGCAGTGTTCCAGCATTGATTGTTTGACTTCTGGAGTGTTATTAAACCCAGTTTGGAAGCAGATTTTCTTTGTGTAGGAGATGCTGGTTGCTTAGCAGTGTTCCCTTCATTGCAAAGCCCACACAGCTGCTCTGACCATGACCAACCTCTCACACTGATCAGTGCATGAACCTCCCTCACTCCAGATCCTCCCAGTCCAGTAATAATTGTGTGTGGCTGCTGCTGGTCACTGCCACTCCTCCAGGGTAAGTGACCATCCTGGGTGGAATTGCTTCCATCTGACTGCTTCCATCATGGATCCCTGGAGGGCTGAGCACTGGCCAGGACATAGATGCCTTGCTCTGAACAGAGCCACCTGGATGGGTGTTTCTGGTAGAGACCTCAGCCTCCAGTGTGACCTGATGCCAGTGAGAGGGAACAGGTGAGAAAAGGGTGTCAGAGGGGACTTGTTTTTTCCTGAGTGTTTCAAACTATTGCTAGACTTTGAAAACAGGTTTTTGCAGGTGTCTACTGAAGATCAGACTCAGCTCCATCCTGGGGCCTGATGCACTCTCCCCATATTTGCTCACCACTTTGCCTTTTATGCTGTGAGGATGTCACTTGTCATATGAGCAGGCTGCATTGTTCTGATGTAGCCTTTGACAGTGGACACCTGTGCCACTGCTGGAGGTGAGCTGCTCATCCCCTCTGTCCTGCCCCAGTATCCTGGGCTGCATCCTCAACTGACCTGCTGGAGAAGCTGCAACTGATGTCAGTCACCATGATGGCAATATATGACTTAGGAGGGAGAAGCTGTCCTATGTAAAGTCAGTCATGTTAGACAACTGCTCTGGTTTTTTGCCAGCAGCAGTAGGAGCAAGGCAGCACAGCACACCTGTGGAGAGGCCTTTTAGTACACCAACCTGATAAGCTGTTTTGTACAGACTTGATAAAGTTGCGCAACAGGAGGAGGGCAGAGAATATAAAACAGTGTCTCGCTGTCACTAGGGCTGGATCCATCTGTCCAGCCATGGGGACTGTGTATCATGATACACAAACCCTCAGGACAAGTGAAGGAAGGACAGCCATGCCCTGCAACCTGCAGATGATTGTGTCAGGGTCTGTCTCAGACAATAGACATGAGAGGAATTGATGTGTAGAATCATTTGTTCCAGTGAATGGGGTCGTGTGAGTTTGGATTTTCTTGTTTGGAGCAGCTGGGAGTTCTACTTGAAGACACTGTGTGTTGTGGGCACGAAGTGGTTAAACAGCTGCTCAGCTGTGCCAAAACTGCTCGTGGTAGGTGTTTTGTGATTGACAGGGCAAACAGCAACACAGTCCAGCATATTCCTTCCTTCAGCAGGGAGTTGTCCTGTCTTTGCTCAGACAGAGGTGACGTGAGTGGCAGGAGGATGTGCTCTGCTCTCTGCTGGCACACAGCCTCAATTCCCTGTGCCTTGTAGCAGGAAGGGTGGCTGCAGGCTTTGCTGGTTGCTCTGTAGCATAACCTGCCTGTGCTGCATTAACTTTTGAGTTATGTTCTTTTAAGGAAGCCGTTCTAATGCTGATGCAGAGGGTACAGTGGTGCTTTTTACATTCTTGGTTAATGCAAATGGTGTATTTTTAGAAGTTTTGCTGCTAGTTTTACTGAATTAATGTTTTTCTCCTCCACTGTTTGAACTATTTTGTCTGTGTTCAGAAGTATGGATTGCTCTCCTCAAAACTTAGTAATTTCAAAGTCTGCTGGGAATAGCATCACTTTTTTTGAGGTATGTGCCTCTGGACTGAATTAAGAGTTTGCAATGCAGATACAGCCATTGCTCTTTTACTAGTACAGTTTTTCAATTTTCTTTGTGTTTTGTGGAAGCTTTAATATGATTTTCCAGAGGTTTTTATGCTTTAACATTAAAAACATTTTTAGCATGTTGCACACGTGTACTTTGTCTTCCTGTGCTCAAAGCTTTCTGGACTTAACCTAACCTTCCTCATGATTTTTTTTTTTTTAGAGGTAATTTGAAAGTTCTAATTTTTGTGTTAAACCAGGTCTTTGTACAACCTCTTCTAGCACCTGTGGAGACTTACCCTTTGTCTTGAGTGGACTAACTTACGTAAGAATATTTCTGTTTTTCATGCAGGTTGGGAGGACCTGACCCTCTGGACTATGTTAGCATGTACAGAAACCTGGGAAACCCAGCACTGAATGTTCCTGAGCACTGGCACTACGTCAGCTTTGGGTTAAGTGACTTGTATGGAGACAACAGAGTACATGAGTAAGTGTCATTTAGGTTCTGTAGCTGTGTGTTGAGTTTTGTGTTGCATTTTGGGGGTGTGTAGGTAAACCCCTGTCCTGCTGCTCATATTATTTGAACAGCTGGTTTTCTGTTGAGAACACCCCAGCCCTGGTCTCAAAAACAATGACATATGCCTGTGCTTGCATGTAGAAGACATTCTATGTTCCCCTCTGCAGGCCTTGAATGCAGTATATTTCCTTTCAGTGTTGAGTGGGTTTTTGTTTAAATTTCTTTTAACTTGTTGGGGAATTTTCTTTTAACTGTCTGTCTTGTTGTGTTTTTCACACTCTGTAATCTGTTATGGTTGTACACTTAAATCCTGACCTCTCCCTGTGCATGTTAAATGCCTTCCTCTGGAAAACTGCTGTAAGGGCATTTTTGCTGTTGCTGGCACAGCAGTGTTACTGTCAGCAGACTGCCACTCCGGTGGCTGCTGTATAAAGTGCCAATTTGTGTAACAGAAGCCTACAAGTCTAATTGTTTGACTGTCTTTTCTCCAGTAATTAAATTATTATCTTAGGTTGCTGGTATGAATGGTTTCTAGCAGGGACTTTGCATTAGACCAAGCAGGCAGCATGAGCTAACCCTATTCTTTCATTAGCTGACCTTACTCCTTAACTCCAGTTGAACTGAGTAGCAGTAGCCAGGCCATCATGATTTTGGGGCTGTGAGCATGGTCTTTTAACCAGCCAGAAATGGCACAATGTTTCTGGTGTCACTGTTTACTGAAATTATCTTTGCACTGTGTTATAGTTGCAGGATAAATGTCCTTGATGAATGGTGCAGCAAAGGCTCCAGTTTGTTCACACAAGCTTTCCTCCTTTTGTTTGTCTTGGTTAAGATTCAGCCACCAGGGTTTTTTTCCATCAGTGTTTCTCTTGCAACAGCAGCAGTTGGGCAGTTTCTTTAACTTTACCCATTCCTCAAGGTAGTTTCTCCTGTTTTTTTCCTCCTTGTGTTTGTGATTACAGAACTATTTTTCAGAAAACAAGTCTGGAGTTTATACAGGACCCTAATGTCAAAGAGATCTGCCTGGGACATTTAAGCAACCATTAACAACAAACCCCAGTTGATAGCTGCTGGGGTAGAGGAAAAGTAGGGCAAGTGAAAGAAATGAAGTTTAAGGCTTCCTTCCCTCCCAAGAGATCTTAGTGTCAACATGTAGATATTTACATGGTACTTTTGTTCATAGATCAGGTGTGTGTTCCCTTCTGGCTGGAATAGCATCCCCAGCTCCACAGCACTGGCCTTGTGTCACTTGCCCTGAGATGTTCAGCTGTCTGCAGTCTGTCACCTTTAATTTGGCCTCATTCTTGGAGCTACAAAGCTTAATAGTATTTAATATTGATAGTATTGTCCAGTAGGTTGGTTCTACCTTGTGTCCCAATTGTGCATGTGGTAGAGCTGTCAAGACCTACTCATCTCCTAAACACTGAACCTGAAGTTACCAGCTGGTATGTGAGCTCTGTAGACTGGCTGAGAGAAGATTTTCAAAGGAGCTGAGCCCTCATCAGCAGTTCTCATTCCCAAGAGCAATTCTTGTTTGTTAAAACTGCTCTGGAAATTTGATGGCTGTGGGAATTGCACGTCACCAGCCCAGCCCTGGGTGCACACTGTAGGAATGTGGTGGATTTTCCTATGCACTCAGGAGGTTCTTGTTCTCTGACAGAGAATTTAATAAAGCTTTGTTTAAGAAAATATGTCTCTCTTTTGCTTGAAGGGCTTTGGGATTCTGCTGTCCCAGGTAAAGTGTGCTGTAGAATGGTTGGCAGGAGCACGGGGTTGCAGGGCAGCTGTTTAAATCTTTGGTGTATTTCCTTTAAAACCAGGGTGGCACTCTGTTCAACTGCCCTGGCCTCTGGAGACAGGAAAGAGTTTGTATTTTTTTTTGTTGTTGTTTCCAAGCTGTCTACAAAGAGTGCAGAGCTGGATCTGCTTGTGACAGTCAGCAGGATTCCTACAACAGGGATGTGCTTCCATAGCATTGCTGTCCTTCATATTTTAGAAAGGAAAAGACAGAACACTGCCAAAGGTCTTGTTAGTTGCCCAGTTTGGGTAACATGTAGCTTACTTTTTGTGGACCTCTCATGGTAATACAGTAAGTTTAGAACAATTATAATGCAGTATTAAATGAAAAGGACTTTTTGATTTTTTTTGAGTGGACTAACACAGAATTGGAGGCCCCGTATTTTTATTTATAAGGGAATAGCAAACAGATGTAGCAAAAAATGTGAAAATGTTGACTTTAATTTATATTTTTTAATAAGAACCTGAAAAGTCTGAAGTAGAGGTCTCCCTGTGCCTCCTTGTTGACAGATTTATTTTCAGTTAGAGCAGCACTGTTTCCTGCTCTGCTTACGTATCAGCTGTACTCTGCTTACAGAACCAGTCTGGTTTTAAGAATCTGTAGAATAAGATGGAAGAAATCTTAAGAATTTAAAACAAGAAAACCTTTTTCATTTAAAACCCCTCAGTGTTTCATGGTATAATGGCAACCATGACACCAGCTGTGCTGAGCTGATAGCTCTAAAAATCCTAAATCATGATGTCATGACAGCATTAGGGAACCACAGGCCTTTCAGTGGGATTTCATGCCAAGCTGCTTGCATGGAAATAAGTCTCTCCAGTTGAGCATGTTGCACAACTTGAGTGGCAGCAGAAATCCTTCCATTATGTTTTTGCAAGTTATACTCCATTTTTAGCTTTTTCTATCTTCTTTCTAATCAAAACAAATGTGTGACTTCTTTAAGCTATTCAGCAGGGTTAAAGTAGGGCCTTTTTTTTCTGACTGTTCTTGCATTCTGAAGAGATTCTGCACTGCAGTGGTGAGTGTGTGCAGCTGCTGGCAGGAGGCGTGTGGCCAGTGCAGTTGTGGGAGAGGAGATGCTGAGTCCTGCACTCTTCTCCACCCCTTGCTGGCAGCAGCTGCCCACAGCAATGCCAGCAGCAAGCAACATGTCCCTGTGTGTCTGCACAAAGCCAGTGCCTCAGCTGGCAGTTTGTGCTCTGATGCCAGGCCATCAGTGAGGTCAAGGGACAGATCATTCCTGCAGTTTACAATCATTATGGTGACTTCTTCCTTGGTGGAGAACAGGTGCACAAGGAAGGCAGCATCAGCAGGTGTAGCTGGACTCAGACTCTATCAGTGGCAATGCCAGCTTCAGCTGACTCCCTCAGGAGTCTCTGACCCAGGAGGCAATGGGCAGAACCTGATGCATAGGAAATTCCACCTGCACATGAGGAAGAACCTAATTACTGTGTGGGTGACCATGCACTGGAACAGATTGTCCAGAGAGGCTGTGGAGATACTAAAGAGCCATCTGGACACAATCCTGTGCCATGTGCTCTGGGATTACCCTGCATGAGCAGGAAGGTTGGACCAGATGACAATGGCGCCACAGTGTTTGCCAGCCCCAGATTGTGCTGGCACAGGTTTGCAGGGCTGTCCAGGGACTAAGAAGGAAAATGTGTTTTTCCCAGACTGGCTTCTGACTTCAGTTTGCTCTAAGGCCAAGGTTTGAATCTTCACTTAACTGTTCTGTAGTTTGAGTGCTCATTCCTTTTCTGAACACTTTAAAGTGCATGGAAAGTGAAAAACATGATGCAATAGAATTCCTCAACACCTTGAATAGTCTTATTTGTATTAAAATTGCAGGGTTGTAATTCAGAGCTGAAATAGAAAGTAAGGCTTAAATTATGGATAGATTGAGATAAGATTTTTATTTGTGGTCTTCCCACATCCCACAAAGTGACATGCCAACTGTGTTTTGATGTTTACTACATCAGCTTCATCCTGACAAGGGCGGTGGGGTTTGGGGTTTTTTGGTTTTGTTTTTTTTCCTGGCCCCTAGCCAGGAGCTGAAGTGCAGCATCCCATTTGCATAAAACCAGAGAGATTACAGCTGCCTTCATCTCTATTACAGATGCAGGGTACCACCCGCTGAGACAACAGGTTCCAACTTGCTGTGGTCCTTTTGATTTGTGCTGCTTTCCATTTGGATCAGGAGGGAGCGGTGCATGCCGGGATAACGTGTTGTCTCTGTGGGTGGTGCCTCTCTATTAAAGGTGAGGGTAAGCAGGAGCCTTTCAAGATCTTCAGTCCAGCTTGTGTTCTGCTTGCTTGTATAGATCCTCTGAATGACCTTAACTTGTAAAAGGGCAAGGATGCTTGTTAGAGTTAGGAGGAAGAAAAAGGAGCGCAGAAGTGGATCAGGTAACCAATACAAGGCTTGCAGAGGGGTGGATGTTTTCTGGAAGGCTTTTTCTGAGTATAAAAGGAGTTTGAAAAGAGTATTTAGAAAATAGCCTGGAAGTTGGAATGAGTCCTCTCTTTCTTTTGAGTGCATGCTGGCTTCTCCTTTGAACCTGCATGAATGTAGGATGGAGTGGTGCTGACAGCTATCACTTTAGTGGCCTCTTAGTTCTGTAGCCTTTCATAAATTTAAAAGCTCACTGCCCTCAGCTTGCCAGCCTTTAGCCTTAAATTTTGCTATTTAATGGGTCCCTAAGTGCTTTATATACCACATGCCTAAAGCACTGCTGAAATATTACACCAAGCTCCAAGGTAACTGAATGCTTTTAAAATGGTAGTGAGTGACTCTGCCCCTCTTTGTTTTCATGATAAAACAGAGGGCCTTTTGGAAAATGGTAAATTAGAGAGAGGTGGCAGATCCGTATTTCAGATAAGATTTGTAAAGTTCAGCATGTCTACCGTGAGAGGTTGCTGGAGGTGAAGCATCTGCCCCAGCTGAAGAGAATTACATGGAAGAGGATATCAGTGAGCATCAGTTTAGGAAAGCAGTACAAGAGGTAGGATTTGGAGGAGAGAGGGTCCAAGGTGGGCAACATACTCTGGACTTCTTTTTTCTTCCCAGGTCTTGTTTGCCTATCAAAGGCTGACCCCAAATGTAATGCTTATTTTTTCATTTGGCCTTCTGTCTGAGGCAGAGGGGAGAGAGGAAGGTTCAAGGCAGAGTGCA